AGAGAGAGAGAGAGAGAGAGAGAGATGGAGAGAGTAAATTGCAAGAAACTGAGCTACATGAATATTTCATTTCATGTATATTTTGAACCTAGATATGGAGTTTATATGTAGATATAGCTCTCTTTTCCAAAAGGCATAGCAAAATATGACATACGAATAGGACATACTAATTAGAGGTACTGTTGTTGTAACAGTATATTACAACACCCAAAAATAAGGCATTGAAATAATATTTATTAAAATACATTTCTATATTTAAATAAGCAATTTACTCATACAAACCTGGTATAATAAGCAAACATGTTCAGTAATGCTAAATTTTTAATGGTTTCTCTTTTCATCATGATCCAAATCATTAATTCGGACTGCTCACAAATCTTAGATAAAAAACAGAAATACCAATATATAATAGATTTACATATAAAGCTATGGTCAAATAAATCACTAGGTTACTGAATACTAAAAATCACTGGAGAAAGCAAAAGCATCCCTTGCGAGACTAACAATATATTCATTGCATACCGTCACTCATTAAGCCTCTTCCTGGAAATTGTTACATAACTTCAGTTTCAAAGCCTCGGAATGGAAAGGCAACAGAAAATCAGTCATTTCTTATAGTCCATATAAATTCCTTGCTTCTGTGTTCTGCATTTCCAATGTTTAGATTCCTCCCTTCTGCAGTGTATGTGTGTACTGCGTTTCGTGGGATTCATAGATGGAGACCTCCATTAATGAATTCCGCAATGACTGCCGATCTTTCAGCAGTGACGTGGCTGGATTTTGAAGGCTAGGAGACTTGTATCCCTTTGGTGAAGAACCGTCTACCAGGCCTTCCTTGAACGTTACTTTAGGCAACTTGACACGACCTGCAAGCCCATTGTGTATTTATATATTTATGTATCAATATAATGTAATATAATGTAAAATGAAGAAAAGTGAGGATGAAGACAGAAAGAATAATTTAATGAATAAATGACAGAAATGGTAATTAGGAATTAACAACACTGCTTAGATCTGTCCTTTGGTGAGGACACTTGCAATAAGAGGCTTGTGCAAGAGATGAAAGGACAACTTTTCGATGGGCAACACAAAATCATCAATAAAAAAGAGCAACAGCTCTTTGAAGATACAAGATGATTCTAAAAACAAATAGACCATGATATGAAAACTCAAGTGAAATATGTGAGAGCATCAAGGGGTTTAATTATAGTTTCATTTACTTTAAGGAACACCTTCCATATATCCGCAAGGACACAAGAACCTACCTCTGTGCTTCATTACAAGAACAGGATGCTTGTCAGTCGGGATATCCCGGCGCCTTCGAGTTCTTTCATTTTCTTTATTTTCAAGTGAATCCTGCAAGAGAAAATAGCCAACAAATAGAACATAAAATAATGTAGTCTTTGAAACCTTAAAATGTATCATAATGTCAACATTTGGGTAGACCATGGAACCAGTAAGTTACTAATCATTAAGTGTTTGCTAGAATATGGGCATGTGCAGAATAAAGGGGAAAAAGCCATACATCTTTTGTTCTATTCTTTTCCCATTTACAATAGGCTAAATTTCAGCTAAAGGTCATCAATAACCAGGATACAAAAACCAGGAAATGGGCTCATGACAGGATTAAATGTGACCTAGCTTTAGTGAATTTTTTTCCAATGAAATAAATGTCGTGAAAAAATATAGCCAAGAGGTAGGTGATATAACCATATCAATTTTGATTGCTGTATTTGTGACGAGAACATCCCATAGAGGAAAAATTTAGATGAGGATTGAGGTAACAGGAATGCCCCCAAACCCATTACCAACTGGGAGATGGGGATGGGTGCAAATGTCAGAGGGAATGAGATTGAGAGGTGTTTCCATTGCATGTATGTACATGCCATGGCTGTTGTGGACCAAAAAATGGATAGCATTTTATTATGCCCATTCACGCGCAATTGGCTTGTAGGACGGAGCCAAGAGGTAGGCGATGTAACCATGATATCAATTTTTCTTTAATAGTAAAAGCTTCATTTATATGGTAAAGATTTTAAGCAGTGGCACCTATAATGAAGGTAAACCTTCAAAATCATATTCTTATAAATTATAGCAAAATAAAAGCTTTAAGGTACCAAATGTTGATTTGAAACTGCCAAACTAGCTGGACACAAACAGAGGAAACTACCGATGCACACCAACAATCCTGTTATTCAGTCCACTTGCCAAACATTTTTACCCATTGGAATTGTGTTAAAAGTAAATAGGAATACTCTGATTGGCTGCAAGAAATAGTTGGAATTGTAGAACTGCAAATAATTTATACAAAAGAAGGAAATAAGATCACATATCAGTCACTTGGAGGGGCACTGACTGACTAGGCCTTCAGGAAGGGGCTCGTTCATGAGCTGCAGGATTTCCACTGGTCCATGAAGGAGGAATGTACCATCTGTGAGCTATGCCTGGGAGGATACAATGTCTACACACAGGTTCCCATACCTGTACTCAGTTACCAAAAATAAACCCCATGATAGAGAGGGGGGGCAGGGGGAGGGGAGAGAGAGAGAGAGAGAGAGAGAGAG